ATGTGGTCAATGCTAACAATAAGACACATGATTAACTGCACAAAGTAATACCAGGTCCTTCTGAAAAATCAACTCAATTTTAAAGTTTTCCCATGTTCACTTTGGCAGCACATACACTAAAATTAGAACAATACAGAAGAGATTAGTGTGGCTCTTGTACAAGGACGACACACAAATTCATGAAGCATTCCATATTTTAAATAAAATAGCCCAGCCAGTGTTGCTCAGTGGTTGAACACTGACCTATGAACCAGGAGGTCATGGTTCAATTCCCAGTGAGGGCACATTGTGGGCCTGATCACCAGTGGGGGACATGTAGGAGGCAGCCAATCAATGATTCTCCCTCATCACTGATGTTTCTCTCTCTCCCTTCCTCTCTGAAATCAAGAAAAAAATTAAAAGATAAAACATTTTCCCTTAAGTTGGAGATCTACATGCAAAGGAATGAAGATGTACATGGTTATTAACTGAACTGCATTCGCCACGTCCCAAATTCCTATGTTGAGAGCCCTAAGGTAACTGTACTTGGAACAAAGACTTTAAGGATGTTAAATAAGGTCATAAGGGCAGAGGCCTAACCCAATAGGACTGATGTCCTGACAAGAAAAGAAAGATGCCAAAAGTGTATGCAAACAGAGAAAAGGCCATGTAAGAACACAGAGAGAAAAAGCCATATCCAAGTCAAGGAGAGAGGTCTCACCAGAAAGCAAACATAACAATACCCTGACCCTGAACTTCCAGCCTCCAATACTGTTTAAGGCACCCAGTCCATGCTATTCTATTATGGCAGCCCTAGTGGAGATTAGTTGGGTGACAATGTGAACAAACTTAACACTAGTGACCTGTACACTTAAAAATGGTGAAGATAGTAATGATGTTATGTGTATTTTAGCACAATAAATTTTTTTTTTAAGTTTTCTCTTACTGCCTGACAAGCGTGGCTCAGTGGTTGAGTATCCATCTATGAACAAGGAGGTTGTGGTTCGATTCCTGGTCAGGACACAGGCCTGGGGTTGCTGGCTCAATTCCCAGCAGGGGGCATGTGGGAGGCAGCCGATCAGTGATTCTCTCTCATCATTGATGTTTCTCTATCCCTCTCCCTTCCTCTCTGAAATAAAAAGATTTTTTTTTTAAAAAAAGTTTTCTCTTGCCTTTAAAAGAAACAGTGTGCCTTTAAAAGAGACAGTGTTGCATTTGTTCTGTTCATCATTAAGCGTAGAGACAATACCTAAATAGGTCTACATTTTATATTCTCATTTGTAAGTAATATGAATATCCAATAAAAAATCAATAAAAATATGAAGAAACAGATTAGATACTGTCTGGAGGCTAATTTAGCATGATTTCCACACCACCAAATTTAGGATACATCTTTTAAAATATAGGAAATTTATCAGAACAATTCTTAATCAATGACCTCTAGGCAACTTTAGCAAACCCAAGGAGAGCCAGTAGGCATCAAGAGGCAAAGAAGAGAAATTATTAGCACACCAGCAACTGTGGAAGTTCCACTCCTTTTATGAAAGCCTCTGATAAAAGAAGCCATTCAAGAGTTAGAAAGATATTTCAAATAGTGATACCCACACAACATCAAATGAAAACTACCTGTGTTCGCTTACAAAACTAAAAAAATAAAATACCTTTAAATAGTTTCATTAAAATAACATGTACCATAATATATGAAATACTTAAAGAAATTGAGGACATACTTGTCCTTTTCATTTTCTTCATGTTTGGTGAGACTACAGAGTTGAAGAGTATCAAGCTGCTGTGTTACTTCTTCTGCCCAACGACAGTTTACTAGTTCCCGTATCTGGAGTGGAGCACTAGAGAGAAGAGATATATATATATTTTTTTAATTCAGGAATTTGAGTTAATTTTCTAAGACAAACACATTCTAGCCCGACTGGCGTGGCTCAGTGACTGAGTGTCGACCTATGAACCAGGAGATCATGGTTTGATTCCCAGTCAGGGCACAAGCCCAGGTTGTGGGCTCGATACACAGTAGGGGCTGTGCAGGAGGCAGCCAATCAATGATTCTCATCATTGATGTTTCTATCTCTCTCTCCCTCTCACTTCCTCGCTGAAATCAATTTTAAAAATATATTAGAAAAAAAAAGATACAATTTTCATCTAGCAAAGGGACAAAAAAAGATAGATTGGTAATATACAATATTGGCAGGAATGTGAGGAAAAGGCACTTTTGTACCTTTTATTAGGATTGTAAAATGGTATAAACCTATTCTTCAGCACAATCTGGCATCATAATTTGAAATTACCAAAAGTGGAAACAATCTAAATGTATCTCAATATAAGCATAAATAAATAACATATGATAATAAATAAATCAAACATTTTTAAATTTAAATACATGTGTACATCAGGAAAGATAACACTATATTTTATATTTAAAAAACAACAGTACTATATCATTTGTGTTGTAAGAAAATACTTATGTGTGTATACACACACACACACACACACACTAGAGGATCAGTGCACGAAATTCATGCATGGGTAGGGTCCCTAGGCCTGCCCAGCAATCAGGGCCAATTGGGGCCTCCCAGCTGCCAGCTGGGGCCTTCCTTTGTTCCACACTGCCCCCTGGTGGTCAACGCACGTCATAGTGAGCAACTGAACTCCCAGTCTCCTGGTCAAACTCCCACAGGGACAATTTGCCTATTAGCCTTTTATTTATATACCAGAAGCCCGTTGCACAAAGATTCATGCAATAGGCCTTGCTTCCCTTGGCTGCTGGCACCAGTTTTCCTCTGGCACCCAGGACCCAGGCCTTTGGTCCAGCCACAGCAAGGCTTGGCCTCTCTGCAGCAGAGAAGCCAAGCCTCTTCAGTCTTCGCTCCGTGCCTGCACATGCAAATTAACCACCACCTTTGTTGGGTTAATTTGCATAGTTGCTCTGATTGGCTAGTGGGCATAGTGGAGTGACACCAGTTTGCATGTTTCTCTTTTATTAGTGTAGATATATCAGTACACAGATAGAAAAATGTTTAGAAGATTAGAAACAATCCCAGTAACTTCACCTGAAAGTGTTATTTCATGACAAGCCTAGGTGAAGAATAACAGAATCAGAAGACTTTTAAGAAATATTTACCTACACTATTAAGATTTTTTAAAACCAGAAACCTTTTTAAGTTAAACATGATTTTCTAAAATAAGGTAAACAATTTAATGCTTTCTACATACATAATTCTAAGATAAATTAGTTTATGCTGTATCTAGAGAGATTATTTTCTTTTCAGCTGTATTCATAAAGAGGCAAAATGAAGCAAATTACACAAAGAATCTTATTAATATTAGGGCACACTCCAACTCCATTACCTTATTATTTTCCAAATACACAAATAATCATAGCAAAACACTTACCGGCAGTGAGGACATTGAGCTCTCTGCTCTGTCAGCCAGCGCTAAGGAGGCAAAAAAACAAATTAGCTTTGATTGTAAAAACACCATTATTTTAATTTGTACATATTGAATACTTATATACCAAATTTAATAAGTTTAACTCTTAGTGCCTGCATTAATTATAAAGATACTTATAGAAATAGTAGACACCTGTCTTCCTCTCATTATCATATTGACCAGGACAAACTTTCAAAGGGACAGATCTCATCCCAAAATACTTAAGAAGCTATTCTCTCATAGGAAAGAAAGTGATTCTAGGGCTACTTGGATCTCAGAGGGAAGATGTGGATAATCTTCACAAAAATAATGATATGGTCACTACCATCTCCAAACATAAACCATAGGGTTTTTACTTCTAACTAACCCACCATACTTCTAACTAACCTAACCTACAATCTGCAAGGAAGTTTAACTAACTAACAAACCATAAAATCCCCAAGGAAATTTATGGTACTAATACATTTCTTTTTAGAAAAGCAAATTAATTTTGAAGAACATACACTATAGATATAAATTAGACCTAAAATGTGAATCAGCAACATAGCAAAACCATTTTGTATCTTGAGTTCCACAGTTCAATAACTTTTAAACATCTACATAACTTTGCTTCCTCATAATTATGAAAAGGTTTTACAAACTCTTTTAACTGCAAAATGTCTCCACTAAACCTCAAATTATATTAATTTAATCACTGTAATTATTACTGAGTAGAGAGCAGTATCACACCATATACAAAGGAGATGCTAAGATTTTCTGAATGCCTTTCCAAAAAAACCAATATTTATGGTTAAATATTTTTGTTTTAATAGTCTGGTAAATTGGTTCAGAGGTAAATGAATGTATTCCAGTATCTGATATTTCTGTTTATCCCTATGTACTTTTATAAAAGAACATAAACTTTTAAAGTCAATTAATTAACTCAGAAATAAAATGGTCAAGGAAATCTTAAAGGACAATAAAAATTAGACAATAGGGAAAAGGTACCACACAGCAAAATCCTATATAATAAAAGGCTAATATGCAAATTGTCCCCTCGACCAGGAGTTCGACCAGGGGCGGGGCCAGCTGGCCCTGCTTCCAATCAGCCCCCCAACCCTGATCAGGGGCGGAGCCGGCTGGCCAATCGCCCGTGGCCCCTTCCCACAGCCGGCCCGGCCCCATTGGCCCTGATCGGGGTGGGCCAGCCGGACCCCACTCATGCACTAATTTGTGCACCAGGCCTCTAGTAAAGAAATAAAGGTAGAAGAAGAAAATACATTGAAGAGAATTCCTCCATTCTTAATAACCTTGAAAATTATTTCTTCGGTCCCTTGGTAAAAACAAAATTTGGGTCAAGTTTCTTCCCCTGAAAAACTCTACTAAAGTCATAGCACCTCCCCAGGGCTGTTTTCAGCCCACACCTCCCTAGCCTAGTCCTCTACCTCAACTTAGGGAACCAGCAAAGTTAAACCTTTAAATATATTTGGTATCTCTCTGCCCAGGATATTTGTCAATACCTCTCTTCAAATGGTTTATTCCTACTCATCCTTTAGATTTCAGTTTACAAGCAACTTCCTTCAGAAAACTTTCTGACTCTACAGCAGCGGTTCTCAACCTGTGGGTTGCGACCCCTTTGGGGGTCGAATGACCCTTTCACAGGGGTCGCCTAAGACCATCAGAAAACACATATATAATTACATATTGTTTTTGTGATTAATCACTATGCTTTAATTATGTTCAATTTGTAACAATGAAATTGGGG